CGCTGCAATGGGTCTCCCCAAATCCAATGCTCATTTCATTTGTGGTACTGCTTCGCAGTTGGTTATTTGGCGAGCCATTAATTCCTACGATAGCTACCACGCCGCAATGCCTTTAATGCCTTTAATGCCGACATCGACCGAGATTTTTGCTAAATTAGTCATTTCTTGCAAGGATGGAGGAACTTGAACCGAACCTATTCCAAGATGGAAAGCCGACTAATGTTAAGCCAATTCTTACTCGAGAAATATAGTTTTGATGTCGCTAAATTGATAGGCAAGCGTATTAGTTACCACGGTGTTCCCCCGGCCATTGCGTCACCTCTCCCCATCCCTCACACTCCATTATGACATGGCTGTGTGCCCCCCCGAAATTTCGAACAAACATATTTACGTCCAAAAAAAACTTTTATGTTTGGCTAATATCCAAACACAATGATTGAGAGCATACAACAATATACCTTTATGATCCATTGCTAAACAGGTTATGCAATTTTTTCCTTGCCATAGTACGTAAAATAGGTTTACTGTAAAAATATACACTTGTGTAGTGCAGAATAACAGAGTGTAGTCCAACAGCACTGCCTACTTTAGGCATATTTGGTGAATACATACATGATGAGAGCAGAAAGTCCACCAGCCATTGGCAGCGTGACGACCCAGGCCAATATAATGTTGATAAACAGCCGCCAATTCACACTCATCTTAGAGCGAATGAACCCAACAATCACCACAGAGCCGACCAAACAGTGCGTTGTGGAAACGGGGAGGCCTGCCTTACTGGCAATCAGCACGGTAATCGCTGCACCGAGCTCAATGCACATACCACTAATAAAATAATATGAATGAATTACTGCAAATTACTGAGATCCGATTGTTCGCACGAAAAGCAAAACCGTTAATACCTTGAAGGCGTAATGACAGTCAGATCTGTGCCAATAGTTTCCATGACTTTACGCCCCCAGATCCACAGTCCAACAGAGATCCCAACACCACCGTAGAAGAGAATCCAAACAGCGGGTTTGGCGGTCATCAACACATTTCCAGTAGTGGAGACAATCCAAAGACCAATCACCGGTCCAATAGCATTACTAAATGCATTGAAAAGAAATGCGAACTGTGATGATAAACGATGTTAGCGATAAGCTGTACAGGTAGCGAATGCTGCACACCTACCTAACATCGTTTCCACCATGAACAAATGACCCGAATGTGGCTGTAAGGATTTGTGCAAAAGCGAACACCTGAGCCTCCTCTGGTCTGTCGTAGACCTGACCATCTGGAGCACGCTGGTAGAGAATGATCGCTGCTTTAAGCACGGCCATTTTAGGTAAAGGCAACAAATACAAAGCGTACGATTAAGAGGCCGCAATGATGTAGATTAACTTCCAGGTTCAAAAGTTTGTGGTTAGATGAGCGCATATGGACTAGTCTAGACATTTTTGATACATATTGGTATGAGCACCTGTGTGTGGGTGCAGTAAATCATAAGCCTTAAGAAGCTACTGAGAGGGAAAAGATGAGGCTTACGTTGGTCTCATTATTGAAGGTTACGGTAACAGCGTCAGGGGATCTGCACACGTTCGCGGATTCCACTACATCGACCGGGGGCAGTGTTTGAATTTCAACATCTCCAATTGTTCCATCCCCTGAAGGTCCTACGGACAAGGATGTTTGAGGGAAACAACCAGATTAAGATGTTAACCATTTGCACATCGCGTATTTAGATTCCCACCATTTATCTCTATCTGTGTACCTAGGTGAACACATAAGTATGGAGCAGCCGTCTAAACATATCAATCGTACAGTTGTGAATGAGTTTGAAAAAAAAATAACTCCTGAAAGCAACAACTACGCATGATCTCGTTCCTCGGCATGGGGAGCGATTGTTTTGACCTATTTTAAGGTCTCTTAGGCTGAACCTTAAGCAAATTAGGTAGTGTCCATAGGAAGTTACAAATGCCGACTTTGCACGATAGGAGACTGAAAATACAAGACAACAATAATAGGCATCTGCGTATTGCCGACTCACGTGAATATCCAATTTTTAAAGTTATTCTCCCGTGTGTCAAATAGGCGCAAATAAGGTGGTGCCGGTTAGGCTAATCAGACACAAATAAACAATTCTCAGTTCTTTAAGTAACAAAATGTCAAATGATAAGGGAGATAAAAGTCAATTTGGCTCCTGAAAACTCCAGATCGGCCATCTGTAATGCAGCTGATAAGTGGCTGAGACTTGGTAATTTACGTCCTAGTTTTACAAGATGAACAACGAAAAGCTGCCTCAATGAGTGGAGCAAATCTAATCGTCATCTTAGTTGTGACATTAAATCGCTTTAAGTCAGCACGCTACCTTCACCACCATTGTCAACTGTTGAAAAGTACAGAGACCATGGAATTATATTAAACTCACCAGTCTCATTTTTTTGCTCGTCAGTACTAGCGCTCCCGCCAACGTTTTGCCCTTTACAAAAAACATCGCGGATTCCATCGCGAATTCGTTTGCAATAGGAGCCTCTGGAGTTTTTGTGAGTTGGATCCCACTTGCCAGCAGCCATAAGTTCAAGACGTCCTGTAAAACAAATCTAGCATTGATCAATACCAAGAGTTCTACTGATACAATGGTGTTAACCATGCTTACTCTGAACTCTTCTCCTAATAAGTGGACGGACGAAGAAGAAGACAATGATTGCAGCAACGATGCCCGCCGAAAAACTTACAACAAGGGTTAGCCACAAGGGAATCTCGGGGAGATTCAGGACTAAAAAGAGCAATTGTTGAGTAGTAGTAAGAAAAAAAAGGGGGTCAATTAACAAAATAAACTTGCGATGAAGGCCGCCATAAAGTACTGAAAAGACATTGATTATTATTGT